ACCTGGGTGTTGGTGGAGGTAAGGATTCCTGGGTGCATCTTCATGGGTATGAGTCAGGGCATAATCCCTTCTGTAGGTACACAGCTCACGCAGCCTACCTCCCTAATGGCGATTCTATGCAGGTCCATTCTAGTTTAGAAAAATATCCTGAGTCTTTACACACAGAGCATTCTGTGGGGTTGCCTCATTTCCTCTTTGTAGGGAGTTTAGGTAGACATGAATACACCCCATACAAACATCTGATAGATGATGCTATCATTTTATAAAATTCTTATCTTTTAAAAATACCCGGGATATTTCTTACTAAGTCACTCACTGTTCCTCAGAGGAAGGAATCTGGCAGTGAGGTAGCACATTTAGGTCAAGAACAAGGACTCCTGCAATTAAAGGAGGAGTCTTTCTGCTTTCATAAAATGAAGGTTGCAGTCATATATCGCTTCATCGTATATTAATTTATTCAGTCAACACATATATATTGATGTTATACTATGACCTGGGAAGCCAATATGGGATCTACCAATGTCATGCTGAATAATAAGTGGTGCTTATCTTCCAGCAGGATGAGAAAGACCATAAAAGTAAACAAATGTAGGCAATGTGTGTTAAATGGTGTAAGTGCTGTGGGAAAAGAACAAGAGTGGGAAGGTCTTGAGAATGCAAGGCGTTTTTGGTCTTTTTTTTTCATGTTTACTTTTTAGAGAATGAGAGAGCAAGGGAGGGGCAGAGAGAAAGAGGGAAATAGAGGATCTGCGCTGACAGCTGCAAGCTCAATACAGGGCTCAAATTTACAAACCATGAGATCATGATATGATCCCAAATCAGGCACTCACCGACTGAGCCATCCAGGGGCCCCAAGATGTTTTTAGTCTTACTTTGACTTTCACAGAAGACATCTCTGTAGAGGTAAGCATTTGAGTAAAGATCTGCAGTAGGTGCGGGGCGCCTGGGTGGCGCAGTCGGTTAAGCGTCAGACTTCAGCCAGGTCACGATCTCGCGGTCTGGGAGTTCGAGCCCCGCGTCAGGCTCTGGGCTGATGGCTTAGAGCCTGGAGCCTGTTTCCGATTCTGTGTCTCCCTCTCTCTCTGCCCCTCCCCCTTTCATGCTCTGTCTCTCTCTGTCCCAAAAATAAACGTTGAAAAAACAATTAAAAAAAAGATCTGCAGTAGGTGAGAGATAGAAATTTGGGGAAAAACATTACAAAGAGAAGAAAATGCAAAATCCCAAAGTTGGGAGTGTGTCCAGTTTGAGGAAATTCAAGGAAAACAGTGATCAAAGGGGGCGTGGTAGGAGATAAGGTCAGAAGTAGTGGTGTGTGTGTGTGTGTGTGTGTGTGTGTGATATACATAGGGCCTTACTACTACAAGGATTTTGATTTTATTTGGAGTAATTTGGGTAGTCATGACATACTATCAGCAAGAGATTTACAATGTGTGAAAATTTTCATTTATTTTTTAATTTTTTCAACATTTATTTATTTTTGAGAAATGGAGAGAGACAGAGTATGAGCAAGGAAGGGGCACAGGGACAGGGAGACACAGTCTCAATCAGGTTCCAGGCTTGACCTGTCAGCACAGATCCCAATGTGGGACTTGAACGCATGAACTGTGAGATTATGACCTGAGCCATAGTCGGTCGCTTAATCAACTGAGCCACCCAGAAGCCTCTTGTGTGATATATTTTAACAAACTCTTGTAAAGTGTTAAGAGAATAGACTCAAAGGATTCAAGGGCAGAAGCCAGGAAACTGGGGAGGAGCCTATAATTATCCATCTGAGAGAGGATAGTGGCTTGGACCAGGGCACTTGCAATTGAGGTGATAGGAAATAACTGGATCTGAGTATTCTGAATGTAGAGCCAAGAGGCTTTTGTGATGATTTAGATCTAGGAACTAAAGAAATGGATTTCCAACTAAATGAAAAATGATTCCAAGATATTACTCCTGAGCAAAACAAAGAACATCTCAAGTCTCCATTAACTGCTCTTATTGTTAACACATATAAATTATCTCTTGGACATGAAATGGTCCAAGTCCTGTTACAGAGAGTTTACTGAGGCTGTGTAATCCCAGCTAAAAAGAACCCTGTCTTATGGAGGAAACCAATCTTTTCCTGAAAGAGAAGGATTGTCCAATTGTCTTATGACACATAAAGTAATTTAACTTTCCTATTATTTTTGGTATGGATACATACAAATGTAGATATGTGATCCAATTCTATGAGCTGGCAAAGGTCATATAATCTGTGTTATGGGAATATGAAAGAGCACCCTCTTTTATGTCTCAAAGGACATGTTTTTGAGCTTTGATAAATTCAAAAAGATACAACTGACTGAAGAAGAAATCAGAGATACATAAAGACATGTCACTCAAACCCAGAATTTCTCTGTTCATGTTCTCAGGTGATTGTGAACAACTGAGCCATGGGGATATGGTTGAATCGATCATCTATAGAAGGCTTCATCCTCTTGGGCATCTTTTCCCATAGCCAGACTGGTGTTGTCCTCTTCTCTGTGGTTATGGTAGTCTTCACTGTGGTCCTCTGTGGGAATGTCCTCCTCATCTTCCTCATCTACATAGATCCTCGGCTTCACACACCCATGTACTTCTTCCTCAGTCAGCTCTCCCTTATGGATCTTATTTTGATCTGTAATATCATGCCAAAGATGGTGGTCAACTTTTCTCTCTGGCAGGAAGTCCATCTCCTTTGTGGGTTGTGGCATACAAATTGGTTTTTTTGTCTCTCTTGTGGGATCTGAGGGAATTTTTCTGGGACTCATGGCCTATGATTGTTATGTGGCAATCAGCCACTCACTTCACTATCCTGTCCTCGTGAGTCAGAGAGTCTGTCTCCAGATTTCTGGGAGTTCCTGGGCCTTTGGGATACTAGATGGAATTATCCAGATGGTGGCAGCCATGAGCTTACCTTACTGTGGTTCAAGGAATGTGGATTACTTCTTCTGTGAGATAACAGCTTTATTAAAACTGGCCTGTATAGACACAACCCTTTTTGACACTCTGCTCTTTGCTTCTGTGTCTTCATGCTGCTCCTTCCCTTTTCCATCATAGTGGCCTCCTATGCTCACAGCCTGAGGGCTGTGCTCCACATGCACTCTGCTCAGGCCCGTAAAAAGGCCCTGGCCACCTGTTCCTCCCACCTAGCAGCTGTCTCCCTCTTCTACAGGGCAGCCATGTTCATCTACCTGAGGCCTCGGCGCTACCAGGCCCCTAGTCATGACAAGGTGTCTCTATCTTCTACACGGTCCTTACTCCTATGCTCAACCCCCTCATTTATAGCTTGAGGGATCAGGACGTGATGGAGGCCCTGAGGAAAGGTCTGAACCATTGCAGGATTGGCAGCCAGCACTGAATAGAGGGGATCTGGTGCCTCGTGTTGCCTCCTCTTGGTTGCATAACACTGGTAAGTCATTCACCCCTTGTGAGTGTCTGTTTCCTCATCAGTAGAAGAGAATCATGAGACCTGTGCTACCTCACAGGGATCAGTATCTGTAAATTTAAAGCCTCATGAAGAAGCAATGCATTGATATTATTGTCATTATTAATCATTTATAAAGTTTTGAATTAAATTACCTATTTCTTCATTCTTCTTGTTTATAACTGTGTTTCATTGAGTGTTTTAATTGCTAGGCACTGTTCTCTTCCCTTAGCATACCTTCTATACTATTTAATTGATGATTCAACTTGACAAATATGGATATTTTAAGTGGAAACTTCCTAGATGGCAGAAATTGAGTCTCTATGATTCTTCATGTATGGTTCCTAGCCTTCTGCCATGCTGCACTAGAGGCCTTATGAAGCTTCCTTTAGGAAATGCAAATATATACCTACAGTTTTCCAGTATATGAATCTGTTTATTATAAATAGCAGTGGTTCAATAAAATCTTATTGAATGAATGCAAGAAGAAGATATCAAATGAGATAATATGCATGAAAGCATTTTTAAAGCACTATTCTCATGTTAAGTGCGCTGTGGTAGCTGTGATTATTTCTATACTTCAAGTGCGGCAGCAGTAAAACTATATTTCTTTAAAAAGATGAACATCAGAACAGAAATAAATACAGAATTTAAGCCATTATTTTAAAATTTGTATATCAGTGTCTAGTCAGGAATAAAACCACATTGGTTATTTTACCAGAGAAAACATAATACAAAAAGTTGTTAACTAGATATTTGAGCACTGAAGTGGCAAAACGATAATGTTAAGGATTATAGAAGGGAATTTTTCCACAATTCCTTGACCTGGGGATGCAAAGGGAAAGGTAAGGTAAGGATTTTAAAACTTGGCAACTTGGAGCCCAAACCTCAGAGGAGTGGGCACTCACTAGCGGGTATTCATACCTCAGAAGGGACCCTATGCAGATGTCTCCTGTACCTCAGAGAAGGCTGCCCTGATCCAACTTATGGAGTTCCTCCAGAGTCCAAAGGAAGAAGAGGAGCTTGCAGAGCTGGGTCCCAGACTTCTGACAAGTAGGTGACATAAAGTTAGTTCTGGTATCCTAGTTCACAGGAGTCTCTGTCCCCAGATTACTAAGGCTTAGGTGCTGCTCAGCTAGAGCAGGTTTCTCTAAGGGACACGGTGAGACTGGTTCTGTGATTGTGAAAACAAAATTTGCTAAGTGGAGCCAACACCAAGATGAAGAATGAATGATGAAGACACACTACTGGGAAAATCTTGAAAGGAAAACTGAAAATCATGAAGAAGTTTTTTCCCTCGTCCTGGCTTGCAGACTTCTAGAATCCTTACTGCCATATCCAAATTCACACCTTGGTGACAAGGCAGCAGCAGCATCACAGTTTGGAATGTAGAGTGTGTGTTTGGAACTGAGGCAGTAGCTTAACAATTGGTACTGTCTACTCTTTTGTCTATTCAACTTCCAGACCATTTTACCAGTTTTTAAATTTCTGTTAATAAGCAACATCAACATAACAATATGTAACTAGTTTCTCTTTTAATAGCTTTTAATATGAATTCCTTTTAGTTAACATGCTGTGTAATATTAGTTTCAGGTATACAATATAGTGATTCGACACCTACATACCACAGTCAGTCCTGATCACAAGTGCATTCCTTAATCCTCATCACCTATTTAACCATCCTCCTTGTTGTTATAGCTCCTTGAAAAGCATTGTTAGTATTTTGATAGGGGATTGCATTAAATGTATAGATTTCTTTGGGTAATATAGACATTTTAACAATATTTGTTCTCCCAATCTATGAGCATGAAATGTATTTAAATTTCTTTGTGTCATCTTCAGTTCCTTTCATCAGTGTTTTATGCTATTCACAGTAAATGTGTTTTACCCCTTTGGTTAGATTTATTCCTAGGTATCATGTTTTTTTGGTTCAGTTATAAGTCGGATTTATTCCTTAATTTCTCTTTCTCTTGCTTCATTATTGTTGTATAGAGATGCGAGAGATTTCTGTACATTGACTTTGTATCCTGCAAATTTACTGGATTTGTGTGTCGCTTTTAGCAGTTTTTTTTTGGGGGGGGTGAGTCTTTTGAGTTTTCTATGTAGAGTATCACGTGATCTGCAAACAGTAAAAGTTGTATTAGTTCCTTAATAGTTTGGATTCCTTATATTTATTTTTGTTGTCTGATTGCTGTGGTTAGAACATCCAGGACTATGTTAAATAATACTGGTGAGAGTGGTCATCCCTGTCTTATTCTTGACCATACAGGAAAAGCTCTCAGTTTTTCTCCATTGAGGATGATATTAGTTGTGGGTTTTTCATAGATGGCCTTTATTAGTTTGAAGTACATATCCTCTAACTCTGCATTGTTGAGGGTTTTTATCATGAATGGATGTTGTACTGTATCAAATGCTTGTTCTTCATCTATTGACAGGATCATGTGGTTCTTATATTTTCTCTTATTGATGTGATGTATCACATAGATTGGTTTGTGAATACGGAGCCACACTTGCAGCCCAGGAGCCAAAATCTACATTGTTTTAATGTACTGTTGGATACAATTTGCTAATATTTTGTTCAGAATTTTTGCATCCATGTTCATTAGGGATATTCTCTTTTATAGTGGGGTCTTTGTCTGGTTTTGCAATCAAGGAAATACTGGGCTCATAGAATGAGTTTGAAAATTTCCCTTTCATTTATATTTTTGGGAATAATTTGAGAAGAATAGATATCAACTCTTCTTTAAATGAAATATGGCCTTTTGTAGCAACGTGGATGGAACTGGAGAGTGTGATGCTAAGTGAAATAAGCCATACAGAGAAAGACAGATACCATATGGTTTCACTCTTATGTGGATCCTGAGAAACTCAACAGGAACCCATGGGGGAGGGGAAGAAAAAAAAAAAAAGAGGTTAGAGTGGGAGAGAGCCAAAGCATAAGAGACTGTTGAGAACTGAGAGCAAACTGAGGGTTGATGGGGGGTGGGAGGGAGGAGAGGGTGGGTGATGGGTATTGAGGAGGGCACCTTTTGGGATGAGCACTGGGTGTTGTATGGAAACCAATTTGACAATAAATTTCATATATAAAAAAAAAATAAATGTTTGGTAGAATTCACCCATGAAGCCATCTGGCCCTGGACTTTTTTTGTTGTGACAATTTTTTTATTACTAATTCAATTTCTTTGCTGGTTATCAGTCTGTACAAGTTTACTATTTCTTCCTGTTTCAGTTTGGGTAGTTGATATGTTTCTAAGAATTTATGCAGTTCTTCCAGATTGCCCAATTGTTGGCATATAATTTTTCATAATATTATCTTATAATTGTTTGTATTTCTGTAACGTTGGTTGTCATCTCTCCTCTCACAGTCATGATTGTATTTACTTGGATCCTTTCTCTTTCTTTTTTGGTAAGTCTTGCTAGAGCTTTATTGATTTTATTAATTCTTTCAAAGAATCCACTCCTGGTTTCATTGATCTGTTCTATTATTTTTTAGTCATATATAACTTATATCAGCTCAATCTTTATTATTTCATTTTTTATATTGTCTTTAGGCTTTATTTGCCATCCCTTTTCTAGCTCCTGTAGGTATAAAGTTATGTTGTTTATTTAAGTTTTTTCTTGCTTCTTGAGATAGGCCTGTATTGCTTTATACTCCCCTTTAAGGGCCACTTTTGCTGTAACCCCGTGGTTGTGGACCATTGTGTTTTCACTTTCATTTGTTCCCACACATTTTTAAAATTTCTTCTTTGCTTTCCTGGTTGACCCATTCATTCTTTATTAGGGTGTTCTTTAATCTCCATGTATTTGTGGTCTTTCCAAATTTTTTCTTGTGGTTGACTTCTAGTTTCATAGCATTGTGGTCAGAAAAGGTGTATCATATGACTCCAATCTTCTTCTATTTGTTAAGGTTTGTTCTGTGGCCTAACATGTGATCTATTCTGGAGAATGTTATATGTGCACTTGAAAAGAATGTGTAGTCTGCTGTTTTAGGATGTAATGTTCGCAGTATCTGTTATGTCCATCTGGTCCAGAGTGTCATTCAAAGCCATTTTTCCTAATCAACGAAACTAAAAGGCAATCAACGGAATAGAAGATACTTGCAAATGACATATCGGGTAAACAGTATCCAAAAATCTATAAAGACCTTAACAGACCCAACACCTGAAAGACAAATAATCCAGTGAAAAAATGGGCAGAAGACATGAATACTTTTTCAAAGAAGACATCCACGTGGCCAACAGACACATGAAAAGATGCTCAACATCGCTCATCATCAGGGAAGTACAAATAAAAACCGTATTGAGATACCAGCTCACACTGGTCAGAATGGCTAAAATTAACAACACAGGGAACAGATTTTGTCAGGGATGTGAAGAAATGGGAACGCTCTTGCAGTGTTGGTGGGAATGCAAACTGGTGCAACCACTCTGGAAAACAGAGTAAAGGTTTCCCAAAAAATTAAAAATATGACCCACCAATAACACTACTAGGAATTTATCCAAAGGATACTGGAGTGCTGATTCATAGGGACACATGTACCCCAATGTTTATAGAGCACTATTGACAATAGCCAAAATAGGGAAAGAGCCCAAATGTCCATCAAGTGATGAATGGATAAAGAAGATGTGGCTTATATATACAATGGAATACCACTTAGCAATGAGAGAATGAAATCTTGCCATTTGCAACAATGTGGATGGAACTGGAGGGTATTATGCTAAGTGAAATAAGTCAGTCAGAGAAAGACAGATATCATATATTTTCACTCATATGTGGAATTTGAGAAACTTAACAGAAGACCATGAGGGAAGGGAAGGGGGGAAAAAGTTTCAAACAAAGAGGGAGGCAAACCCTAAGAGACTCTTAAATACAGAGAACAAACTGAGGGTTGATGGGTGGGGGGTGGCAGGGAGGGGAAAATAGGTGATAGGCATTGAGGAGGACACTTGCTGGGACAGTACCGAGTGTTGTAAGCGATGAACCATGGGAATCTACTCCTGAAGCCAAGAGCACACTGCATACACTGTATGTTAGCTAACTTGACAATTATATTTTTTAAAAAGGCCACTGTTTACTTGTTTATTTTCTGTTTTGATGATATGTCCATTGATGTAAGTGGGGTATTAAACTCCCCTACTATTATTGTATTACTGCCAATTAGTTCCTTCATGTTTATTATTAATTTTTTAAAATTTTTATTTAAATTCTGGTTAGATAACATACACTGCAATATTGGTTTCAGGAGTAGAATTCAGTGATTCATCACGTATATATGCAATACCCAGTGCTTGTCATATTTTTTTTAACGTTTATTTATTTTTGAGACAGAGAGAGACAGAGCATGAACGGGGGAGGGTCAGAGAGAGGGAGACACAGAATCTGAAACAGGATCCAGGCTCTGAGCTGTCAGCACAGATCCCGACGCGGGGCTCAAACTCACGGACCGTGAGATCATGACCTGAGCTGAAGTCAGCCGCTTAACCGACTGAACCACCCAGGCGCCCCGCTTGTCATAATTTATTAATTGTTTTATTTATTTGGATGCTTCCATGTTTGAGGAATAAATATTTAAAATTGTTATATCTTCTTGTTGGATTATCTCCATGATGATCATGCAGTGCCCTTCTTTGTCTCTTGTTACAGTCAAAATTTTTTTTAATTTTACATTTATTGATTTTTGAGAGACAAAGTGAGACAGAGCATGAGCGGGGGAGAGGGAAAGGATGAGACACAGAATCTGAAGCAGGCTCCAGGCTCTGAGCAAGTGTTCAGTGCAGAGCCCCATGCGGGGCTCAAACTGACAAACCATGAGATCATGACCTGTGCTGAAGTCAAATGCTCAACCAACTGAGCCACCCAGGTGCCCCCAGTCTTTGTTTTAAAGTCTTTTTTGTCCAAGACAAGTATTGCTACTTTGGCTTTCTTTGATATCCATTTGCATGATAAACGTTTCTTCACCCTCTCACTTGCTTTTTTAAAAATATCAAATTTATTGTCAAATTGGTTTCCATACAACACCCAGTGCTCCTCCCAACAGGTGTCCTCCTCAATACCCATCATCCACCCTCCCCTCCCTTGCACCCCCCCATCAACCCTCAGTTTGTTCTCAGTTTTTAAGAGTCTCATGTTTTGGCTCCCTCCCTCTCTAACCTCTTTTTTTTTTCTTCCCTTCCTCCACGGTCTTCTGTTAAGTTTCTCAGGATACATACAAGAGTGAAAACATATGGTATCTGTCTTTCTCTGTATGACTTATTTCACTTAACGTAACATTCTCCAGTTCCATCCACATTGCTACCAAAGGCCATATTTCATTCTTTCTCATTACCATGTAGTATTCCATTGTGTATATAAACCAGAATTTCTTTGTTTTAAATTTTTTAAAAATGTTTATTTTTGAGAGAGAGAAACAGAGCAAGCAGGGGAGGGGAAGGGAGAGAGGGAGACACAGAATCCGAAGCAGGCTCCAGGCTCCAAGCTGTCAGCACACAGCTTGATGCAGGGCTCGAACCAATGAACCAGGAGATCATGACCTGAGCTGAAGTCAGACGCTTAACTGACTGAGCCATCCAGGCTCCCCTACACCAGAATTTCTTTATCCATTCATCAGCTGATGGACATTTAGGCTCTTTCCATAATTTGGCTATTGTTGAAAGTGCTGCCTAAACATTGGGATAAAAGTGACCCTATGTATCAGCACTCCTGTATCCCTTGGGTAATTTCCTAGCAGTGCTATTGCTGGGTCATAGGGTAGATCTATTGTTAATTTTTTGAGGAACCTCCACACTGTTTTCCAGAGTGGCTGCAACAGTTTGCATTCCCACCAACAGTACAAGAGGGTTCCAGTTTCTCCACATCCTCTCCAGCATCTATAGTCTCCTGATTTGTTCATTTTAGCCACTCGACCAGCATGAGGTGGTATCTGAGTGTGGTTTTGATTTATATTTCCCTGATGAGGAGCGATGTTGAGCATCTTTTCATGTGTCTGTTGGCCATCCAGATGTCTTCTTTAGAGAAGTGTCTATTCATGTTTTCTGCCCATTTATTCACTGGGTTATTTATTTTTCAGGTGTGGAGCTTGGTGAGCTCTTTATAGATTTTGGATAGTAGCCCTTTGTACAATATGTCATTTAAAAATATCTTTTCCCATTCTGTTGGTTGTCTTTTTTTTTTATTGTTTCCTTTGAAGTGCAGAAGGTTTTTATCTTTGTGAGGTCCCAATAGTTCATTTTTGCTTTTAATTGCCTTGTCTTTGGGCATGTGTCAAGTAAGAAATTGCTGCAGCTGAGGTCAGAGAGGGTTTTTCCTGCTTTCCCCTCTAGGGTTTTGATGGTTTCTTGTCTCACATTCAGGTCCT